CTTCTTTTTTAGTTAACATAGCCCAGATTTTCTTATTTCCTCTCATAGCATAGTTTCATGACTACCTTTTGGTCTGGCTAAAATCCCCCTTCCACACAAAATCCATCACCAACAATATTCTGTTATTTGTTCTCCGAAAATAGGCAACATACAATCTAACACTGTATTCTAGTATTCTAAATGTGACCTAACGACCTTGTAGAATGCTGGGAATGGCTTTAAACTATCTGTTGTTGTACCCCCAAATCATCTGAAATACATAATGTTAGTAGATGTCAGATTGGTTTCCTAGGGCTTCCATAACACAAACTGGGTGGCTTAAAACAACAGGAATTTATTTTCTCCTAGTTTTGAAGTCTAGAAATATTAAATCAAGGTGTCAATAGGGCCATTCTCTATCTCAAGGCTCTTAGGACAAAATCCTTCCTTGCTTCTTCCTAGCTTCTGATTGTTGGTACTCAGGATTCCTTGGCTTATAGCTGCATTACACCAATTTCTGTCTCAGTTGTCTGTCACACAGTCATCCTCCCTCTGACTATGTGTGTGTCTCTAAATCTCCCTCTCCTTCTAAGAACATCAGTCATTGGATATAGGGCCCATGCTGATCCAGTGTCTTCATTTTAACTGATCACATCTGCCTAGTCCTTATTTCCATATAACAAACACACTGCCATCAAGTTGATTCAACTCCTAGTGACCCCTCCTTGGGTTTCTGAGGAAGTATCTCTACGGAAGTAGATTGACCAATCTTTCTTCCGAGGAGTGGCTGGTGGGTTGAATCACCAGCCTTCTGGTTAGCAGTCAAGTACCTTAGGCACTACACTAACAGAGGTCCTTTATTTCCATATAGCTATAGGTTCACATTCATAGGTACAGAGGGTTAGAACATCAACATATGTTTTTTAGGAGGAACAGAATTCACTCACAATTTTCTTAAAAATATACAATCTATTCTTTTGTCTCATCACTTTAAATTTAGTCCTTAGGTAATAGAAAGGTGATATCTTTGAAATATATTTATCATCTAAAGTAATATCCTCTACAGTACTGAGCTTCATTCTGTATCTTCAATTTTTTTTGTTTAGCTTTTATTTCATAATTATAAACTTATTTCTGCAATTCAGTTAGACTTGAAGGGGATTAAGGAAAATATGGAACGCAAAAAACTGCAGTGAGAGCATAAAGATTAAAGGATATTTTGGTAGAAAGGATATAGGAGTGGAAGGGTGATCTTCTGAGCTTCATTTTTTAATGGACATCACCATAAAGAGAAGCCATTTATTTTTCTTTCTCCCCTTGTTGTAAAAATTATTTTTCACTCACATTTAGGATGCAGACAAGAGACAAAAGAACTTCATTCCCATCTTAACAAAAATAACAAGAAAGATAATCTACACATCATTTTTTAAAAAGTTCATCAGAGAGTTAGGACGGCAAAGGAATCTAATAAACTGGAACTCATCGGTGGCACTGAAAGATATAGTCATAGATGTTGTTTTAAGAAAACTTTAACTTTTAACAGATAACTTAAAGACAAAGTGTAGGTTGGCAGACTATAGAGAATCCTTGGGAGCCCTTAAAACAGGGTACTCTGGACCCACCCACCAATTCTTTTTCTTGGGCCTACAGCATGCATAATCATGAAAGTTTCAGGGCAAGAAAAGAGAGCTGAGAGAAATTTTACTCTGAGGCATGGATAGCCAAGGTTTGGTGAAGAGCAAAAAATCTGAGATAGGCCCCACACACGTTTCACATATTCACTTCTAGGTCTTACACTGAATATGAATATTTGGTCATCTATGATTGGATGAGTGGCAGTAAAATTAAGAGATATCTGCCTTTTCTGTGAAAAATAAGTGTTTTGGGCCTGCAAAAGTCTGAGGGAAGAATAGTAGAACTGGAGAAATCCCCTAGGCACTCTGAACTTTAGACTGACTATTAAACGCTGGTGTGTGTGTGGGGGGAGAACAGAAGCATTTAAAAGGGGCACCTCTAATATCCAAGCTAGAAGAGCATGCTCTAGTCTGACGGCAGTGCAGGAGAAACTCCAGGCACTCAGCTGCTAACTAGCCTTGCTGAAGGGAAGGTTCTGGTCCTACACTTAAAGTCTGTGTTGAACTAAATCTAACTAAAGTAACAGCAAAGGCCACATCCACATCAACCACAGATTAGATTAATTCAATCCCTTGAAACAATGACATGGCCCCTCATGGTTCGGGGCAAGCTTCAAGGGCAGGTGGCCTGGAAGGTGGCCCTGCATGGTTGAGGTAGTTTAAGGGCAGCCAGGAAGTGAGCAGAGTGGTTAGGAAAAGGTAAGGGAGATGACCTTGTCTGTCAGTTTGTCGTCCTAAGGTGGCTTGTGTGTTGCACTTACTGATGAAGATTAAGGCCTACAGTCTGCAGTATGGGTTACACCTCAATATATTATTGGTTGTACAATCAACACCAATGGAAGCAGCAGTCAAAACATCAGATGACATATTGCATTGGGCAAATTTGCTGCAAAAGACCCCTTTCAGGGAGACAGCAAAGATGTCTCCTTGAAGACTAAGGTGCGCTTAACCATGGCTTGCATGGTATTTTCAATCACCTCTTATGTATGTGAGAGCTGGACAATGAATAAGGAAGACTGAAGATAAGTTGATGCTTTTGAGTGGTGGTGTTGGCAAAGAATACTGAGAGTACCGTGGACTGCTAAAAGAACTAACAAATCTATCCTGCAAGAAGTGCAGCCAGAATGCTCCTTGGAAGCAAGAATGGCCAGGCTTGGTCTCACCTACTTTGGTCATCTTATCAGAAGAAACCATTCACTGGAGAAGGATTTCATGCTTGGTAAAGTGGAAAGTCAAGGAAAAAGGGGAAGGTCCTCAACAAGATGGATGCATACAGTGGTTGCAACAAGGGGCTCAGGTATAGCAAGGATTGTAAGGCTATCACAGGATGGCACAGTGTTTTGTTCTGTTGTGCAAAAGGTTGCTATGAGTTGGAGATGACTCCACGGCACCTAACAATAATAACAACAAAATAATGACATACTCATTCCTGGACATAAATATTATTCCCCAAAGAGAGGAAAGAATTATCACAGAGAAGTAAAACTAAGCTGCAACTCTCCGTGAGCAATATCAATAAATTCCATTAGTTAAATTAAAGCTAAAATGAGAACCAGTTTTTAAAAGAGAAACATTTTATTTATGATTTTTGTCTTTTTCACTATTTTATAGGTACCCAAAACAAACTCTGGCAATTACAAATTTACTTTAAATATTATAAAAATGACAAAGAGATACAGATTATATTTTCAAAATAGACCTCTACTTCTTTGATGTTAAAGGAGAAAATAAATTTAAGTCTGCTATTGTATGTTAGTCATGAGACATGGCAGTAGCAAATAGTTATTGCCAAAGAAAAAGAGCCACTTTTAATTATTTTTTAAAATGTACTGTTTGAAAACTTTTGTAAGAGGTTTTATATAAAGAAAAATCATCAAGAGCCTATTTTGAGGAAATTTTTAGTAGTTCAGTTTTTGTGTCA